ACCCCCCCAAGACAATTATTACTGTCTCTGTTGGTTGTGATGTAAACCCTGGAGCCCTGTATACAAGTTGCATTTGACCAGATTCAGTTGCTTGCTATAAATATGCCACTGTTATATTCATGTACCACACAGCTCTGTTTAAAGTTCTCACAGAACATGTGCCACTTCCCCGCAGGGAGAGAAAAACAAACTACAACCAAAACAACACATCACCCTTCTTTTTTCCCCTCACTACATTTTTACTCATCCAACAAGAAGAGATTGTTCATGAGCAGTATTACTCATTATTCAAATCTAGCTGATATAACTTCAGAATACACCAGGGAACCTAGTGAACTTCCAAGAGTTTGACAGGGTGCATGTGGGACGTGGGGTATTTGAAATGTTACACCACACTGACATGCCTCACTATGGGGGTAAATATTGGCCCAAGGTTGATATTTATTTGATGCAATATTTTGTTACTCATTTCCAGTACTTTTGTTTTTGATACCAACTAGGCACCCTCCCAAGAAAACCAGAATCTTCTTCCTTGGAAGGGGCAGACTTCAAAGGAATATTGTGCAAATGCTGACTGTCTTCCTCTATGACGTCCATGATCCTCTCACACTGCATGTTGAGGATCAGGGGTGACTGCTCTGACATACAACATAAGCCTAAAATAAAGAAGCAACACCACAGCTTTAAAATGTTTAGCAATAGGGTAAAAAATATGTTTTAAGCCAAAGGAAGCTTTCCTAACAAAGACACAGCAGGCCATCTATCTCCAAGGGAGTATGCATTTGTTTTTGCTCAAAGTGACCCCCAAAACTCCAGGCACATATTTGATTGTAAATGAACTGTCTATTTAGAGACTAAAGGAACTGTATTGCTTATACAGAAATCTTTATTCTAAAATTTAAAAAACCCCAACACCCAACAACAAAAACCTCAACAACAAACAGCCCTTTAAATTCAAGATCTATATAAATAAAGGAAAAACAACTTAAAAGAAAACATTCACATTTGAAACTAATAAATAATTTTCAAATATATTAAAACATTAAAAATTATTTTACTGTTTACTTATTTCTTGAAGAGACTTCAAACAGAAGTTTTGTAAAACAGTAATTTGTCTTACAGAGTTCTGATAATTTTTAGAAATCATAATAAAGGTAGTTTACATGATTCCTGGAAACTCAATGCAAAACTAAGTCTTGCTCACATCTTGCAGTAATTCAAGAGAACTAGTTACATGAATTTACCTAACTCTGCAGATTTAAAAAAACCCAAAATCCCAAACCACATGAAAAACCTCACCAGTTTTCCTGTGCAAGGTCTGCAGATAGTAGCAAGAGTAAGAAGAGAAAAGTCCACTAAAGCAGTATGACTCAAAACATCTTGAAGTACTGTTAATAGCTGCTTGGAGACAGGATTTCACCATTTTTGGAAAGGTCATTTAAGTGAACATTCACAACTAGGAGAAGTGTTATTCTAGTAAACCAAAACATTTGTGGTTAGTAAAATTGAAGCAGATTTCATATCTACATTAAAAATATGTTTCCATTTGTCAACTTGTGGTTTTAAGCACAACTCTACAACATTCTGGGAAATGATGCAAGAAACACTTCTAATGGAGAAGGGGTTAGACTGCATGGGATTTAATAGTCAAAAAATGCTTGAAGTAAACAATTTGTCTAATACATACCAGTGAAAGGGAGACTGCTCCCTTGTGGACTTTTACTGAAAACAAAAAGGAAAACAAAATAGACAAACTCAGGATACTCCCAGTAACATATCAAAAGTAAATACAGTTTTGTAAGAACTCTGGATCTCAATTTGTTCTGCAAAACACAAAGAAGTTTTGGTGCAACTCAGGCTTTCCACCAAATGGAATGATTCTCAATTTCCTTCTCCAGAAAAAAATTCTTAAAGAACATCCTGTCTTTGCTATGTGAATGGGGAAATTCACAACAAAACCTCACAACTAGTGTTTGTACAGACAGACCCTTACTCTTACATGCTCACAATAGAAATGGACTTTTCTTGAAAGCAAATTAGGGCCAGAGCTTAGCTTCAGCTTGACTTAGAGAGCACCTGAGAGACCTAACATTTCTGGATTTTTTTTTTTCTTTTATTCTTTTTTAGTTCTTTTTATGCGAGGCAGGAACTGAACAGATGAGATTAGGTCAGTTGGTCAGAGCATGATGCTAATAATGCCAAAGTTGTGGGTTTGATCCCCATCCAGGCCATTCACCTACGAGCTGGACTTGATGATCCTTGTGGGTCCCTTCCAACTGCAAATATTCTGTGATTTCTGAATCACTGGGGAGCTATTGCAGGTTTTCACAGCTGAAGCAGTTCTTTGGTAAAATAATCTCATTTATTTTTCACTTGCATCTTTTGACAGAGCTCTGAAAATTAAAAATCAAAGCAGAAAAATATCTGTACATTTAGAATTGCTCATTATTCCAATTAGACACAACACAAATTTGGAAAATTGCCAACTTAGAGCTTTTATTTATGACTTCAGTGATCATTTGACTCTCAACATTCAAGAGCTGTGCATTTGCAGCCCAGAAAGCCAGTTGTATCCGGGCTCTATCAAAAACAGCATGGCCAGCAGGGCAAAGGAGGTGATTCTGCCACTCTGCTCTGGTGAGACCAAGGCTGGAGTGCTGCATCTGCCTCTGGGGTCCCAAAATAAGATGGACATAGCCTGCTCAAGCCAGCCCAGAAGCCAGGAAGATGCTGAGAGGGCTGGAGCACCTCTCCTATGAAAGGATGAGAGATGGGGCTGTTCAGCCTGGAGAAGGCTCTGGAGACACCTTGCAGCACCTTCCAGGGCCTGAAGAGGGGCTACATGAAAGCTGGAGAGGGACTTGGTACAAAGGCATGTAGCGACAGGACAAGGGGTGATGGCTTAAAACTCAAAGAGCACCAGTTTAGATGAGGTATTAGTAAATGTTCTTTACTGTGAGCATGGGGGTGTACTGGCACAGGTTGCCCAGAGAAGATGTGGATGGTCCATCCCTGGCCATTCCCAAGACCAGGTTGGATGGGGCTTTGAGCAACCTGGTCCATGAAATGTGTCCCTGTCAACAGAATGGGAGGTGGAACAAGATGATGTTTAAGATCCCTTCCAACACAAACCATTCTGTGATTCTGTGACAGATTCTTGCCTGTACCACAATGCTCATTCCTTGAGTTTAAATCTCTTTGTCAGATTTGTGTTTGGAAATATATGGAGGGGATTTTCTAAATTTTTGGAAAGCCAATAAATACATGTGGTATAAATGATGACACAGTGGTAAGCAGAGTAAATGAGAGAAGATTTCGTGTGTATGCACAAAGACTGGGAATAAAAAGCTTTTACACACCCTTGAAGACTTTATGGACTAGGAGACAATAATTATGTTCTATTTATAGTGTGTTTTCCCTGAATGACACATTGACTTTATTCCTTGCTTAAACACCAAGAAGCGCTTGTTTGCTGACAGTTTGGTAATTCCAAGATGCTGGTGCTCTATAATCTTTCACCTCCTCCTTCCACCTGCCCTAAATAGAAATTTATTTGCACAGTATCTCTTTTTAGCAGGATAGACCCTATGTTTAAAATTAGTCTTAAACACTTATTTTAGCAACTATTTGTCAGATGCACAAGCCTGCAGGCCAACATGTACTGATTCCATGGACACATATAGAACCATCTGCCTTGGGAAGATAAGACCAACAGCAAAGTCATTCTAAAAACTGAATTATTGTTTCTCTAATTTGAGAAGGTGTCAAATCCTGTAACTTAGTATAAAAAAAATAATTTTTTAAACAAAAAAGTGATGTTCTCAAGTATAAATTCAATAATTTAGAGGGGCTGTTAAGTTAGTCTACAATAATAATTTTCCTTATGTTATTTCTCTTCAGCATCTTGGAGGAGCTGTTGACTTTGCAAATTCTTATCTTAAAAGACTTCATATGAGCAATGACTTACCTTCAACCAAAGAGACAATTTTCATGCAAAGTTGTTTTTATAGTGAAAACACATAATATTCTATGAAATATTCAAAATTCTTTATTTCAGGCCAGTACAGTATTGTTACAGGCATCCATCTCTTCCTCCAAACTTGCACATGATCAAAGTTGGCACTTCCAACCACAAAAATGTTAAATGGTTATTACAATACAGGCACAAAGTAGCCAAAAAGCTTTACTTTCATTAAGCAAAGCCATTATTGTGCTCTAACAGCATTTATCACCAGTGCAAAAACTAAGCTCCCCTCCTCCCCTAAGCAGGAAAGGGAAATTTCCCTTAAGTGAAGGAACACAGATGGTAGCTCTGCTTCTAAAACAATCATCTCCTTAGTGGAAGAATGACAGATACCTGGATACACTGGACATCTTCACTGCTTTCAGTGGCACTTCCTGATTCACATGGGTTTAACATCTTCACAGGTGCCTACTGCTGCTTCAATTATTGTCATCACTATAAGAGCTCCAAATTTGAAGAATCAACATGATTTTTTAAGAAATGAAACAGTAAACCCCCCAGAAGACTTGGTACTGCAGTTCCCTTGCCTAAGAGTCTGTTTCATAACCACCATTTAAAATCTCTTTCCTTTGTAGAAGCATCAATTCCTTTTCATCAAGAAGGCAGCACCTGAGACACTTTGTATCACCTAAGGACAAATTAACACAACCAGTGTAGGTTACTGCATTTTCAACTTCCAGTTACAGTGGTAAGGTAAGCAATTATCATATGGAATGAGTATCAGATACTTATATCTACCAAAGGCAAGTTAGTCACAAAAATCTCTAGAAATACCTTACAAACAAAACCAGCAGAAAACACTGCTATCTTTACACAGGACTCGTTCATGAACACAACTGATTGGGCAGCCATCTGGAAAAAAAGCTGATAGCTATGTTACAAAAATAGCCAAACAAATATTTGATCATAGTAACTGTAAGAACAAGTGTTAGAGAGAGGGAAGTGAGCATGATTCAGTTAGCACAAACTCCACTTATACAAGAGTGCCTCCAAGCCACAGAACACGTAGCTTCAGTTTTACACTAATAATAAATACTTCAGTCCAACACATGCAACTGAGTCTGGCCAACCTGCCTAAGCAGGCAATGGAACATTATTCCATTGATTTTCTCTGCAGCATGCAGGCCCACTCCATTGTCAGGAATGCCAGTCTTTGCCCACACGAAGGCAGCAGCAGGTGCCCTGCAGCTCAGAACGGAGGGAACCAGCAGAAGTGCTTCCGTCAGAGGTGAGGTTCAATGTTGGCATGGTATGTGCACAGTTTGTTTTTAGGCACATCTTTGGTTACATTCTCAACACAGTCTGCTTTATAAAATAATAAATAAAACAGTCAAGATTTGGTTAAAAATTCAGGTAAAGATAAAAAACTTCCTTTTTTCAGAATCTCAGGCAAAGAAGTTCCTTTAAATTCGTGTTTTGTTATATCCATAAACGATAAAATCCCAGTGCTACAGTAAGGCATGTAAATACTGAACCTGAAAGAAAATAAAGATGGAAGGAAAATGGCATTAATATTGACATTAAATAACATTAAATCAATATCTCTCAAAACATCTCTTCAGAAAGCAATGTACATATCTTACTACAATACTAAAAGTTCAGTGACTTCCCCACCAAAAGTTCACTTCTCCCCATGTGAGAGATTAAGTTTTTCCTTTACAACAAACCATTTCAAGGTAGGAAGAGTAAAAAACGACAAATAAGAAGGAGAGAAAAAAAAAAAGAATGCTGGAAAAGCATCAAAAGGCTGAAAGAAACCCTAAGAAACCCTTACTTGCTTACCATTCCAAAAAGATCAATATAACAAGTTACAGATGTAAAACAAGGTAATAAATAATGGAATTAATAAAACACAGTCAAGTATTTAGCAAACGAATGAAAGCCATTTTAAACAAGGCTTATTAGTTTTACATTTTTTTAATTTCTACTGCAATGAAATAAAAATTTTATTTCAGGACATAAACACAAAATATTTTTGCCTTTGTTTGCAATGGGAGTCCTTCAAACACAATACAAATTGTTTTAAATTATTTTTCTTCCATGTAGAGTTCAACTTGTTTTAGAGTAGGAATGGTAGGGAAAAGAATTTCCTCTCATTTTAATAAAGCACCTTTTATTTTCCATTTTATTGGTTCTCTCTAAATTATATGTCTGAAATACTAGTACTATTAGGCTTATGTACTTTTGACAAAGCCCACTATGAAAAAATAATCAGGAAATCTAAATCAGAATAATTTTCTACTGCAAACCTCATTTAATAGTACTGCACACTCAGTAGTAAAATGTCAAAATGTTCAAATTACCTAGGGCAATAATGTCAGCACACATATATAGTATTTTCTCCAAATACTTGTGTAAATATGGAAGTTTAAAGAATATGTGGCCTTGAATAGTCAGAAAAACTGAAATGTTCCTTTTTGCACAGAGATCTCCATCAGATGGATGAAGAAATCCTAGAAATGCATACAGCAGACTGCTTACATAAATTAAGTCAAGCACAGAACTTTTTTGTCCTTGTTAACAGGCAGTCTTTCAGATTTCCCACACATATTATTATTAACATTATAAAGAAAGACAAAAACCTGAAAAAATTCCATGCAAAATAAAGCTGTGAATCACAGGAAACTTCTTCTGGGTTAAGTACAGAAATAAGGCTGCTAATCTTGCCTACTATTTCAAGTTTGGTTTTTTGGGGGTTTTTTTTTGGTTTTTGTTGTTTGTTTTTTTTTTTTTTTTAGTAAGGGCCTTTATAAATACAGCCAATTGAGAGTTTGCCAAACATTTAACAATGTTTGGCAGTGTCACCATCAGAGACAACTGCCAGACTCCTTACCTGCTAAGTATTTAATATTATCAAGCTTGTGCGTTTCAAGCATTGTTTTCAGATCTGCAACTTCTGTGTCAATTTTTCTGTCTGTTTGGGTCAGAGCTCGGTCTTGTTGTGCGTGCTAGAAAGCAAAACAAGAAAATGATGCAATTTGAACACTTCCTAGTTTATTTAGAAATAGAACCCATCTCTTCAAGGTGTATTTTTGCTTCCTCTTTAAATGCACGTTAATTTGCATTCTTACAGAAGTTACAAAATATTCTGAGTTGGAAGGGATTCACAAGGATCCTAAGTCCAACTCTGCAGTGAATGGCCTGTACAGGGATGAAGTCCACAACCTTAGCGCTATTAGCATCATGCTCTAACCAGCTGAGCTAACACAGACCTTATTCAAAGACAACAAGTTCCTTCTTAGCTGATTGTATCCAAGGAACTGAATAATTTGGTGAACTCAGGAAATTTATGTGATTACATGTTCCTTAAAAAGTAATCTAGAAACTGGCAGAACTGGATGCCTTCTTATCTCAATCTAACAGCATAAACATTAACTTCAATTTGTCATTCAGCCCACTGACTAAAGTCACTGCTCAATTTTAAGAGCTACTGAGAAGCCTAAGAGGCTCTCATGACAAAGTCATACTGGAGCAGAGAGATTTATGGATCATTAGAAAAACTGAGAATTGGTCTTGTGTCACAAAAACACGTCTTTGTCTTGCAATGAGTTTTACCACAAAATCAGCTACAAATTCAGAATTTGATTAAGACAGAAGACAGGATTTCCACTAAAAAAATATGGGATAGAATTATTACTCAGAAGAGACTGAAAAATCCAACTTGTAAACTAGGAACAACAGCTGCTGAGCTGCTGATAGTTTCAAATCAGCACTAGTGAAACACTGTGAATCAGTTAATGATTTACTGCTAGATGACTTCTGAGGGATAATTCAGGAAACAAAGAGAAGTTGTGGTGCTTGGTAAAAAACTCCTCTAAAACAAAAGCAAATCAGTCTAGCAATGAGTTTCTCCCTAAAGACAGGAGAAAGAATTAATTTCACATTGTGAGTGGAATTCCATCTACAAAAAATACTACATGCATGAGGTTTCAAAACAAAGTGACTACTGAACAGCTCATATATACATGCAGAGGGTCTAATAACATATATGAAGGTCTTTTTGTTCTGTAGACACTTAAGCTAAAGTGCCTAAGGACATCACCAAATCCAAAAAGGATACAAGGTCTATAACACAGGTACAAAAAGACTTGCCGTGTGATAATCAGCTACTAAGTTCTTACCAATTCCACTATTTCTGTCCTCATTTCAAGTAGTTTTCTTTCATTAAGTGAATACTAGAAGGAGAAAAAAAAAGTTAAACATGATACTGTCCTTAAACTTTTTTTCCCCACTTAAAAGCATGTTTCTTTGTTTCCAGATTACACAGAACACATAATCTGGACAAGATTATTGTCTGACAGCACTTGAGAGACAGCATTGTAGGGTATCTGCTGTCCTTTTGAAAGCACACTTCAAAAATGTGAAGTGCAACAAGTTCTTCAGACACTCATATTCCACAAAATCTGTATATATTAGTAAGCAGCTGGAAGAGAGGCTGGCAGATTTGCATTTCTGAAAAGTAAGGCCCTATTATTCTAAAGAGTGACTCTGGCGTACAAGCACAATCAAGAGTGAACCATCTGCTGCCTTCAGGAAGGGGAGAACTCTTAAATCACACCAAACTCAGCTATCAACGAAATGTTTAGCCAGCACCATATGCACTCACAATTTGAATTGTTCTGACCTGTCATTCCAGGGTATATTTGTTAAAACCAGAAAATTTGTATTGCATGTGAAGCCTTTTGTTTGTGGATCACCAGAAGCTGTGGCTTATTTTAAAGTTATGGCTATTTGGGTTCAAGGAGAAGTTAAATCCAAAATAAGGAATCATACCTTTAAAGCAAGTTAGCTTTCTGACTCATGAACTTGATTTACCTTGACATCTATAATGGTTCCTGCCCCACTACTGGAGCAATTAAATTATTCACAGAAAACTGATAAAGCACCAGTTTCCAGTGAAGAGTACTAAGGTCATCAGGCATCCATCTCAGAATCCCAAGTTAAACAGCAATAACCTTATCTATTGACATTCCCACGTGGAAAGTCACCTTTATTTTCCTTCACTCTAGAAGGTTATCTAATTTTAACATTAAAACCAGATTAATCTACATAAATGCTTCAGCACTGAAAAACATTCCTTAAAGATCTAGAGCTCTGTTTGGACTTTTGACTTTTCTCAAGTTGAAGTTAAAAGACAGCAGGCTGCTACAAATGTAGAAAATTATATAAAGACAAATAACAGCATGTCTACAATTAATGGAGTCACTAAATTCAGAGACAAAAAAAGAAATTCAGACATTTTTTATAAATCCCCATTTCTGAAAGTGTCAAAATGGCAGAATATTTATAAAATAATCTAAAAAAATTATGTTTTGGTAGAAAAGCAAGAATTGGACCTCACATTGAGGAACTGATCACTCTCAAAAGAACTATGAGAATTAAAATAATTTTATGGACTGAAACAGTTAATCTGTTTAAATAGATGCAGTTAGCAGTTAGCCAAATACACATCTTTTGAATTATTTATATTCTGCAAGCTTTCTGGATGTTTCTTTAAGTTTTGTTCAGTGTTTAGAGCTCTCTAGGTCAGACTCAAGGATTTTACTCTTAGGTTTAAGACACTGAAATTGGCCTTTTAGCACAAGCCATCATCACATCTGTAACAACACAAACATAGTGGATAAAAAAAAAAAGGAAGAAAGGACAAGGCTAAACCTCCCACTCTGAAATTCAACAGGGAGATTTCCCCTTAAGTCCACGTTTTTCACAGTGCAGGAAAAAATCAGTTTTGTCAGATACATCTTGAGGCTTTTAGCACCAAGCTTAGAGACACTGTGATGCATGAACACATGAATATATACAAGTTTTTGTACTGTACTTCAAGTTTTTAAATCATATCTGAAGACAAATTACAACATAAAGAGATGTGCACTGAGCAGTGTAGGATCCTCTGAGAAATAAAGTAGAAGGGACTATAAAATAATAAACTATAGAAAATAAAAGAGAAAGTATTTAAAATTTGAAATATTAAGGACTGCCAATATCAATGTAGGCAAACTAAGAAATTCTCTTTAAGCACTTACTCCACACCAAACTGAAGGATAAGAACATTTTACTTATTGCTTCAAGTTAAAACAACATTTCAGACATTTCTCTTCTGAAAAGTAACTTAGTAAGAATGCACGGTAACCTTCAAATATCCTTGGTATTTTTTTCTCAGAAAGCTGGATATTCAGTACTTAGCCACATTACAATTGAAGTACATGTAACAATGATGCTATGCCTACCATAGAAAATAGTGGATTACATCTTGCCCCCAACCCAGCACAGGTGCCACAACCTGCTCCCCATTCAGCTGCCTTTTTCCTCTTCTGTTCACGCATTGCAATTAAATGGTGAGGGAGGGAAAAAAAAGAGCAGTTTCCATAGAAACTATGAAATTATAGTTGCACAACAGACTACAAAGTTGGTCAACTCTTTTAAGAGAAAGTTGACATGCAGTTTGCCTTTCCTGGGAGGCAAAATAAAGTTGTGTTCTACACAAAAGACCAAAGTCCAGATTACACAATCCTACTTATATTAATATACAAGAAAACACTGCTGCCTAATTTATCACTACTCCAGTGGTGTCATATAAGTTTTGTAAGCCCAAATTGTTGCAAAGCTTATCATATACACAATGACTACATTTTATATGATGTCTTTTAAAAGCATTAGCATGAAGTATTAACCTTTAAACAAGAAGTCTACCTGCTCAAATTGTACTTTATTCAAGCATCTACCACGGGCTAACAGACTGTTAGTCATTATACTCAGTCACCAACACAGCTGCTACCTAAACTAATCACTCACTATTTCTAGGGGCACACACAGAAGATAAATGATACTACTTGAACAGTTCTTATTGCTTACATTGAAGATAAGTATTATAACTTACATAAACTTGTCTTTATAACACACCTAGGAATAAGGACTGAGAAATGAATAATAATAATTTAGAAAAAGTTATTAAAAGATCCTTCAATTTAGAAGATGCCATTTCATTGAGATCCTAAAAGCTACTAAAAAAAAAGAATCTATGAGAACAGAACTCTAGAATGCTGTGCATAATGCAAGAACTCATTAATCTTCTAATTTTACATCTACATTACCCTAATTTAAGATTACATTAATTCAGATCTACCAGGTATTTCAAAGCTCAAAAGCAATATGAACCAGGACAACTTACAATTAAAAAAATAAAATTTACAACTAGTTCCACAATAGGTATTTTTTGACAAACTAGATACAGGGAAATGAAACATCTCCAATGATGATTCAACAAAATGTGTAAGCAATAGTAAGCATGTAAATAGATAAAGAAATATAAAACAGAAAACCTTCTAAGCAGCTAGTCAGCATATTAGATTAAATACCTAATATATTTAATTGTAATGTGTTAATCCTGATATTAAAACAAGATCAAAACAGGCAAGACATACAGACCCAAACATGGCACCTTGCATATACCAGCATAAGGACGAGTAACTTGGATTAATAGCATCATGAAGCTGAGTAATACTACAGGTTAGTAGGAAAATGCTCTTTGGGTGAGATGCATTTACCCAAATTTGGAGATTACTCAGTGTTGAGATGTTTCTAGAAGTAACCAAAACTTACCAGTTCTTTTACTCTGCTCTTCTCCAGGTTTAGGTTTAACTTGTTATCTGCATGAACTTTGTTAATTTCATCCTAATGGGAAAAATTGATAAAGCAGCAAGCAAGATTTTCTGTATTATCATAAGCAGAAAGAATTGGACAAGTACATTTTATCTTTATTTTTTATCTCATGAATAGATCTCCAATTAAGGTATATAATTTTCAGAAGTATTAAGTATTTACAATACTTATTTATAAGTATTTATACTGAGAGCACGTCCTCTATAAATGCAGAGAATGTTTCATATATCCTGTAACTCTGATATCCAGAAACCCATGTCTGGCTACACCTATAAATTGGATTTCTTCCATGAAGCAATCCTGATGCTCAAAATAATGTTCAAAGCAGTTTCTTACCATCCAGTGCAAAAGAAAATCTGCTTCTAAAGACTACAGCTGGGATTTTCAGAAAAAGTTATAGACATTTGAAAAGTCAGGAAACATTTACTGCATTTTTAAACATCTAACTTTTTAAAACTATTAAGCTGTACACTTGCATTTGACTTTATCAATAGCTGTGAGTCCTGCTTGTCCTGGTGACAGCTGCCATTTTAATGCAACCTCCTGGCAGGAATTCCAGCCAGCTGACAGTTTGTCATGTGGCAAACTGCTGATCAGATGAATATGTGGGAGAAACAAAAGATTGCTGATGTTCTGGGAGATTCTACTGCTAGAACCAAGTAAGCATTTCTCAAGTAGGCCAATGCCAACTCATTAGGTTAGCATCAACAATAATTAGACTCAATTTCTGTGTTCGAATTTTGAACTTTAATTGATTTAGTTGTCATTTCAGCAGAATACATTACAGTTTAATAAATCAAAAAATAAAAATTTTCCTTGAAGTTTTACATTGTGTCTTTTTGTATGAGCAAGCATATAACATGCCCTTGTGAGAATTGAATTTACAGTTGAAAGTAAAATATAAAGACATCTAGCTTTTAAGAAAAGATGACTGAGATCCTTGATGCTCTACTAGTGGATTACACTAACTCATTTACATGCAACTAAAACCATAAAATAAATTACAATTCAAAAATTAGATGTATTTTAAAACAGAATAAGCTTTCTACACAGCCTATTTTCTTGCACTGATCATTTGCTCCCAAACAAATAGGACCAAACATAATGACCCCAAACTTGGTGCCCTTAAAAAGCCATTAAAATTCTGGACAGGTAACAGGAAAGTCTTTGGAGAAAAAAAGAAACAAAAAAACTACCAAACCAAACAATCAAATCCCCACAATTAGTAAGTGATTTTAAATGTATGCTGCATCTTTAATGTACAGGCAAGCCCTAAATGCAGAACTTCCCTCAGCCTTAACCCTGACATGGCAGCTACTTTCTGAATCTGAATTAAGGACATAAAAATATCTTCAGTTATATTTTGGTTTGCCTCTTGTACTAGTCAGTTTCCTGTCCCCATAAATGAGGTATGCATGAAAGTGCCATTGCTGCAGACCACAGCGTACTGTCAACAGCAACTTCAGTATCACATGTGTCATAACAATTAAACACAGCTCAAAAAATTCAATTCTTGAAGTGACACTTTTTATTTTTCCATCTAATTAGACAGGCGTTAATTTTTAATTATATTGGTATGGTATCTTACCGTGAGTTGCTTCTTTATCTGTTGGAGTTCAAGTTTTATTTTCTGTGAGAGTATGAAAAAAAATTTAGACTTTATTACTGTATATAAAACCACACTACCTAGAAATCTACAGAATTTGCATCATCAGTAACAGCGACTATAATCCATAATATGAAAGGTAGGCAAACCAAGCACAGATGAATACTCATGCACGTTTACTCACTCCTGTGCCCTTCCAGACAACAGCATGAGGCAGAAATCAGCAGTGTCCCACTGGCAGCACCTAACACAGCCCAGGAGGCTGCTGGCTGCTTTTGCCATAAGGGCTCATCACTGGCTCATGGTGCACCTTGTGTCCACCAGGTCTTCCCTGCCAAGCTGCTTTCCATTAATATACAAGAAAACACTTGTATATTAATGGAAAGTGTAGATCCTGTACTACCCACACATGCATATAAGAACTGCCTTCTCTACTAAAGCTGCTTTCCATTTGGTCACTCTCAGTCTGTCCTGGTGCCTGAGGGTATTCCCCAGGGGCACTACTGAGCACTTCCATTTGTTTAACTTCATGTGATTCCTGTGGTCCCACTTTCCCAGCTTGTTGATGTCCCCTTGAATGGCAGCACAACTGCTTGGTGTATCAGCAGCTTTGGATCATCTGCAGAGCTGTTGAAAGTGCCCTCTGCTCTGTTCCATCAACAAGGTCATTAATGAAGGTGCCAAACCCTCCCACCCCCAGTTATCTCCTTTGGTACAAGATGCTTTTCTACATCATTATTAAAAAAAAAAAAAAAAAAAAAAGAGCAAGTTCTAGGATGGAACTTTCCAAGACAGTAATTTTTACCTCGTTTTCTGCACGAAGTGCTGAAAATTCACTTTTTTCCAAAATAATCATGTCCTTTTTCACACCAGCAATATGTGACATAACTTGCTGAAGTGCAATTTCCTTTAAAAGAAGGAAGAAGAACCTCAGAACATATATCACAACTATAATACTTTTCCTCATCTGTGCCTACAAATATGAAAGACTATTTTGGTGCTCTGAAATTTTTAATTCAGCAATTTCAGGTTGATTATCCAAGTTTCAGAAAGCAAGACAGAGTGACAGTGACAAAATAAGCAAGTTAGGCTCAAATGTTGGTAATGTCTGACAAAATTGGCAGTGCTAACACAGATCAGAATAATTCAATTATTAGCCCAGGAAACATTTGCTTCCAAGTCATCAAATTCTTAAGCTAGCAAAGGCATTAGGCAGAGCTGTCTCTGAGCCAAATGAGGAAATCTGGCCTTCAGACCAAAATTCCTCAGCACAACCATACTCTTCTGTAATTACCTCCTTTTTTGCCTCTCCCTGCAAGGAAGTCTCTGCCTCACTGCTCAGAATCACGCATTGATGCTTTGAATTGCTCTTCTCAGTCCATTACACTGAACTGACAGAAGACAAACAAGAATTCTCTGCAACTTTCAAGGATGGAAAAGTCTGTAGACATTGTTCTAGATCCTACACTACCCACACATGCATATAAGAACTGCCTTCTCTACTAAAGATCTTCCTCTAATATGTAGTACCTTGCTTTTGGTTCTGGACTAAGACCCCTGCAAATCTGACTCAGTGCTCTAACTTCAGTTTTGTCACAAAATGCAATTCTACCTTGCAGCATTTTATTTCTAAGTAGCACCAAAAGCTGCCTCTCCAGGCTACCTGACCACAAGACTGAAAAAAAGGGTCAGTATTCTGGACATATTACAAAAAGTCTACAGACAGAGTACTGCATGGACACCTCTTTTCTTACTCCTCAGTGTCTCCAGATTGTTCTTGTTCTCTCTTCTCCTCAGTGGACTCAGCAAACAGAGACCAGAATCTTCCATATTCTTTCTCTTCTTCATGCCTATACATACACACACATGTAAATCTGTTTTTCCCTAAGGTTTTATCTAACCAAGGTAATACTTTGGTAATAGCTCATCCACAACATTCCAAATCTTCCAATTTTTTGTTCTCTTTCTGCAGAAGACCTTGTGCAATCGAAGGCTATAAGGAAGTAAAAATTTACCATGTGGCCCTGTGTTGATGGCACACACTTCCAGAGCTGCCATAGAAACCTACACATTGCATCTCAAAGGCACAAAGTCAGTTGAGGTCAAATCTAACAGTCTCAGAAAACATCTACCATCAGTAGCAGCATTAAATCCAACACAAAACAACTTTCATTCAAAAAAGCTAGGCACAGAAGGAGGCTGGGACTGCTTGTTGCAAAATACAACTAACCATGGGAGAAAAGGACCCTTTAACATGGCATTCCCTGAGTGAATAAATTCAGCACAAGAGAAGGATTGCAGGTTTGCCTACAATCTAAAAGGTAGGAAGACTGGCTTGAAACCTCCCTAGGTGGTAAGTGCCACAAAATCCACTTTTGCAGTATCCCACTTTTTAATGAGACACCCTTCTGCCAAGACTGTTACACTACAGAGAGAGCAGCTGCTGTTTTCTCAATCTCAAGACAGCAGCCTGGTTACTATGAAACAAGTTGCAGCTTGTGCTCGAAGGTGACCTGGGGCTGTGACCCCAGGCTCACAGAGCAGCCCCATGAGGTTGTATTCTAACACAACATAAATGTCACTGAGAGACAGAGATAAACAAACAAGTACTATATAAGAGGATGGTAAATAACTGAGGGGATCTGTACTTCCTTCTTACAAGTCTACAAAAGAAATGTAGAAATCCAAATCCATGCACTGAATACCTCTTATGATTGTCTAAGCGTTCTCAGTAACTCTGTGTCCTGTTACTGTAAGGTTGAAAGTACAAAACTATTTGTGGTTTGCACACCAACCCACAGTACTAAAATATCCAGGTCCATCACAACACTTTGGTAACTATCTGATACACTTTGGTAACTATCTGATAAACTCAAGACAAAATGAATCAGTCAATAGATACAGAGGAATGTTTGCTCTTCGCCTTCAAACTTTTAAAATGCAGTGTAAACCAGTAATAAATAGCAATAAATATTTCATTAGTAGGCACACAAGGCTTTAATTTACTTTAACCTCACCACTGCCTCGGATCTAACCTGCTGTACTTTGGTGACCATGTCCTTGTAAATCATATCCAGGTTGGTGTTCATGATTTTCACTAATGCAGATACAATGACCTCCGACTGCTGAGTAGTGAACCCTAAGTGAAACAAAGAGTGACATTCAGAGAGAGATCCAAATCTGGACAGTTTACAGAAATGCCACTTGCTCATGATCAGCACCAAATTACTACTAATGTCAGTTATGAAAGATAATAAAACACAGAACTCTTGATCCAGAATTATCAAAAGAACACAGTCAGTACCTGCAAGTTTCCCCACCCCAAAGCCATGTCTGTGACACAGGATGACTGCTTCCAAGTACAGCACCATTACACTATCAGCAGGATAAAGAGGGAGTTCTCCAGAGTTATTGTGGAATGTCATCTCTCACATGTGGTTATTTCCATGAGCAAGAAAGAATTCTGACTCTGAAAAGCAGCTACTTCATTATACTATAAAATTCAGTGCCACTGAAGAGGTACAAAACTCAACAACTAAAACCACAGCCAACTGTCCTGATTTTAGGTCTACCAGCTTCTGAGTGCCTATTCGAAACTTTTTGAACTGAATATACTGGAACCTATACTTAAACACTGTCCCTAAAATTACCTTCATATTTTCCACCCTCAAAATGTAGGAGTAAAAATGTCACGAACAAGAGTTAATCATTATGAAAAGAAACACTTGCAAAAGCGTGATTATTTAAAACTCACCAGCAGTTCAGCATCAGCAAGCACAGCTGAGAGCAAGTCACTTTCAGCAGCTGAGCTGATATAAAAGTTTACTGCCACTAAAAGGCTCCCTCTCCCCTTATCCCCCCTCCTGACTCTCTGACCTGTGCTCACTCAACTGATCCAGCAGCTCATTAAACTAGTGTTTCAGAATAGCAAACAAGAAAAAGAGCTGGAGAATTTCCTGAGAAGTTCCTGGCCCATGGAAAAAGAAGAAACCACCTGGCAGGGGAAGGGGACTGGGATCTCTCCATTTTAGGAATGAAGAGCTGTTACAAGTCACTTCAGCTGTACTGAGCTTCACCTTAGGTACCTCTCCCACCTCTGCACTGAATTAAAAATAATCCATTCCCTCATCTATATTTTAGCATAATACTATTTTTATAGTATTCTATGCTCTATCCTAAAAGCTGCACTGTACAATGTAGTCCATATTCCATCCAATTGTAACACACTGGTGCATATTCAAGGTGTAATATACTAATTATGAAGGAATCCAATCAATACCTTTTAAACCACTGCCTTGAAGGCTCTGGGGTTCTTTGCTCTCAGTTCTTAATTTTTTTTTCTCAGTATCTTTAACTACCAATAGGGCAAAAATTATTCCAAACAAAGTTATATAAACTCATTGTTTCCTTTTTGAAGCAGAAGAAAACCCTATATGTATACCTAGCATATAGATAAGCCCCCAGAAAATCCATAAAATCAAGGTGTGACACTGTATGTCAAGGAAAAGTAACAAACTTTGTAAACTAAAAAACCATTAAAAATAGCTACTTGCTTCAAACAATTTACCTTTTTCTTCCAAGAGGCATACCAAGGCATGAGTGTCAAAATAAAGCCTCCTATTTCCCAGTAAGGAAATATTCTCTTTGCTTTGTAAAGATGACACAGAGATGCTTACATCTGTGAAAAAAAAAAAAAGTTATTTCTTAAGAACTAATATTTTATCAATTATTGCTTTCCAGGAGTTTCCTTACTACCCAGAATGTTTTTCACTTATGACAAAATAATTTGTGTTCAGATTACCACAGCCTGATCAATAAGTGCTATGTGCAAGAGCTGGAAAACAGGACACTATGCTACTCTTCCCCTTAAAAGAGCTCTCCAGGAATACAATGATCTGGAAAAAATCCCTCCAGTTGAATCCGTTCCTTTACTGGAATCACCTCAGCAGGTGGGACCTGTGAGCACTTCAAAGCTGGAGGGCTAAATCCACACACTCTGTCCCTTCTTTGTTAAAGAAGTGAGCTTTCATCACTTGCCACTTAAGAAAAAAGTAATCACTCTCAATTTGCCATTTACTGTTTTTGCAGAAAATACTTCCCGCACTGAAAGCCAATCTAACACAGCGCGTTGTTTCCACTGGGATGTGTAGTGTATGAACAACCCTGACAGAATGAACGTGAGGAGGGGCAGGAGCTGATCTGCCAAGAGGCAGAATATAAAATCAATTAGGTTGGAAAAGACCTTTGCGATCATCGAGTCCAACCTTTGACCAACACCAACCACGCTGTGAACCAGACCGTGGCACTGAGCGCCGCGTCCTTAAACACCCCTCGGACGGTGACTCCGCCACCTCCCTGGGCGGCCACGTCCATAGTCCAGCCGCCTTTTCTGTGAAGAAATTCTTCCTAATGTCCAACCTAAACCTCTCCTGGCACAGCTTGAGGCTATGTTCTCTTATCCTGCCGCTGGCTGTCTTGGCGAAGAGGCCGCCCTGCACTTTGCTACACCCCCGTTTCGAGCAGTTCTAGGGAGCGATCAGGTCCCCCTTTCCGAAACTCCTTTACTCCAGGCTAAACACCGCCAGCTCCCTCAGCTGCTCTGCACGGACCTGCTCTGCAGACCCTTCCCCAGCCCCGGTGCCCGAACTCCCTGTGCTCTCAGGACGCCCACGGGCTCACCCCGCTCCCCGCGCTGCCGCCGGCCCCCTCCGCCGCTGCCGCCGCCCCTTCCCCACACAGCGCCGCCGCTGGGGCCCGGCTGCGCTACGGGCGGGCACCGCCAGTCGCCGAGGCAGCGGCGCGCGGGGGACGCGGGCGCGCGGCCGTCACGTGAGACACCGTCCGAGCCGCGCGGCCGTGGCCGCAAGAGCAGCAGCAGCAGCGAGCGCCCCTCGCCGCTCGTGGCCACCCGGGCCCCGGCCATGGCCGCGCCACACGGTCCCGACTGCGGAAAAGGGGACGGGGAGGAGGGAAACCGCTGCTGCCGCTGCTGCCGTCGCCACTACTGGGATGCCATCGCCGAGCACAAGCCGCCCCGGCGGCTCACTTCCGCCACGGCCGCCGTCCCGCTTCCGCCTCCGGGACGCAGCCAAACACGGCAGGTGACGCCGCCAGGGACGGCGATTGATTCTACGGCTCACGGAGCGGGCGCGCCGAGAAGAGCGGCGCGGGCGGGCGGGGTTCCGGCGGGGCGGTGCTTGCGAGGGCGGTGCGGGCTCGATGCAGCGGAGACGGACACTCCCCCGGTCATAGAACCATGAAATCGTGGGATCGGCAATGCTGGAAGAGACCTTTGAGATCATCCAGTCTGAAGGGAATGAGGGGCTTGCCTTTACAAACAAGCTATGGATCTGCTGGTAAATAAAGCTAGATACTGAGAGATAAAAGAAACAATGGGAAGGATTCCACTTATTGATAAATGGAGTGAGAGATTTGTCTTTACAAACAAACTGTAGGTCTGCTGATGAATGAACTGGAATACTGAGAGATGAAAGAAACAATGGGAAGAACCATAAATTCCATAAGGAATTCCTAATTGACACAAGGAAAAGACAAAGGGGGGGTGTCATTAGAAGGGGATTTTAGGCATTTGGGGGAACTCTCAAGTATCTCAGCCAATGGGGAAAGAGAGAGGGAAATGTGGATGAGAAATTATGATAAAAGGAGGCAGTGTCCTCCAAAAATTTGGGAGACCCTAGGGGAAATGCCCCATGACCTCTCCCTTTATTCAAATAAAGTAACAGGACTCCTCTGTCTCCTTTTTGGACATAAACCTCTGGTGTTTGTGGATTAATTTTCCTGACAAGTCCTACTGTCAGTGCTGCACTGCTGCTGTAACCCCTAAACTACTAAACCAGACAAACAATTTCAGACAGAACCTGTTGCTCTGCAATGGGACTGAGATTTCAGGGCTTGAAGTAATTAACCAAGTGATGCCCGGGACTGGGCAATTTGGTGGATCTGGAACCTTAACCATTGAACAGGTGCCCTAAGCACTAGTGTGAGTCAGGTGTGCTATTTGTTTGGTTCTGCCAAAAGTACAGGTTTCTGGGAAATATGGGAAAACGCATTTTTTTCCTTATGTGCTATTGTTAAGACACATTACTTAATATTTTTAGAAAATCATTAGGAGATGAAGTTGGTTCCTCCCACTGCCATTTTCTCCAGGGAGCACTTACTTCAGAGCAAGCTGATAGTTTTCATGATAGTTACAAATTCACAGAAAAAAACATGTGGCACCTTTTCTTCTTCCTACTAGAATCAATAATTGCAGCAAATCAGCATGAAGATGGCATCATTCAGGTGTGTCTATATACACACAAAGGGGGGTGACTTGCCAGGGCACATGGCAGTGTCACAGCAGCACAGCAGTGTCTCTGCAACTGAGAGTGCACGCACCACAAGGCCAGCAGGTCTTCAGCAGCACCCCCTTCCAGCTGCTGTGGTGATAAAGCAGAACAGTAGAAGCCCTTGGTGTTCCTACAAAACAAACTATAAATGTTACTTCTGCGTGTCAGAGTGTCCTGGTTCAGGGCAAATTTGGGAGAGAACCCCCAAAGGGGCTCCTTTAGAAAGCAGATTCAATTGGTCCCTCCCCCAACAGGTTAGGGAAAAAATACCTCGTTGGAAAAAAGTGGAAAAAACTGTTCATTAACCAATAAAATCTAAACAACATGAAACAATTAAACGTCTTGCCACTCCAAAAGAGAGACAAACTCAGGAAAGTCCCCTTGGTGGGCTGTAGCTTGACTCAGTTTCTTATCAGTCCCTCCAGCACTGGAAATGCCGTGGCCCAGGCCTGGCCTGGTGGGCCACAGGTGTGAGCTGCTGGTGCGCTTCTGGGTATTAAACAGCTCCAAAGAAAAGGGAAAAAAAATCCAGGAAACTTCTTTGCCTCAGTTAGCTAATACTACCTAAAGGCCAAGGAGAGCTCTGTCCAGCTGTCAGTCCATCTGCAGACAACGCAGTCCAGGAGCAGGAATGTGGAGGAGTGAGTGCAGTGTCTGAAAACAAACTGCGCACTTCTCTCCCCCCTTCACTCTCTGGAATGAGACTTAAAGGTGCAAAACTTATTATTCAGCATAAACAGAACAGATGATTGGGGAGACAAGCATCATATAGCCAACCCAGGACACAGAGAGATATCATTATACTTGCAGGCTGCATGAACAGCCATGTCTTAAACCACTTGCACTGTTGATGGTCAGGGACATCAGTGGGCCGACTCACACAGCAGCGTTTGTTTTCATCGTAAGCAAAACCAGAAATGTGCCTAATAAGTTCACTGCATCTGCTCGGCTGTTCCATGAACACTGCCTGGCAGTAGCACAGCACTGATTGCTGACATTTGTGAGTCTGCAGGCAATTGTCTTTTCATTCTATGGATGATTCAGAAACTGGTGGAGTGTATTTTCTTTGATGCTTTCTTCAATGGTCCCTTTCAAAGCCCTGCGCTGGTTATGGCAATTGAAAGGCAAAACTGTGACTGCTGAAGTATCTTCTTTTATATCATCTGCCAGTTTGCATTTTGCAGTTGTTTTTCGAGCCTGGGCATGATGGCAGATAATGGGTGCAAGAAGTGCTGTACAGATGGAGGCTCTGACTGCAACTGGAGCCAGCCCCTTCAGGGTCAGATGCACCCACACATGCTGGCTATCACACAGTGCTGCTTTTCATCTTCTCTCATGAAAGCAAAGTCACTACCATGAGCTACAGAGATCTCCTAGGGCAGATGACTTTGTGTCAGAGATCAACATTTTCATTTTTTTCCCTTTCCAGTGTCATGTCACCAGGTTGAGGGAGGTGATTCTGTTCCTCTACTCAGCTCTTGTAGACCCCCACCTGGAGGGGTCCCCAATGGATAAAGGACAGGGACCTGCCCGAGTTAGTCCAGAGTAAGGTCATGAACATGATCAGGGGGCTGGAGAACCTCTTCTATAGAAGAACAGACTGAATGAATTGGGATTGTTCACCCCGAAGAAGAGAGGGCTCCAGGGAGAGCTTGTAGCACCTTCTAGTACCTAAAGGGAGCCCACAAGAAAGATGAGGAGACTCTAATTACAAGGGCATGTAGTGACAGGACAGGGGGGAATGACTTTAAAGAGAGTTGGTTTAGATTAGATATTAGTAAAAAAATCTTTTCTATGAGGGTGGTGAAGCACTGGGATAGGTTGCCCAGAGAAGCCATGGATCCCCCATCCCTGGCAGTACTCAAGGCCAGGTTGGATGGAGCTTTGAGCAACCTGGAAGATGGAAGATATTCCTGCCCATGGCAAGAGGGCTGGAACCAGATGCCTTCCAGCCTTTAAGGTGCCTTCCAACCTTCCATGATTCTATGACTTCCACATCCTATTTTTGACCATTTTCTCCATGTTGGAAACTGTTGTGTACTACCAGCAGATAGATTCCCTGCATTCTGGAGGCACCTTCAGGAGGCTAGAGTGGCTTCAGAGTTATCAGTTTTGGTAACTGAGCACTGGGGACTAATTTCTGCATGAAAAGGCAGAAATGATGCAGTTGCAAGCAGGGAGAGCCAACAGGACAAAAAACTTTCTGCTATTTCATGATTCTAAGTTGCTTAATGCTTGACTTTGATCTATCCATTACCCCTTGATAGCCAATAGACCCTGCTTAGAGACTATAAAAGAAGCAAATGCTTCGTGTCCTGAAAACTTCATCCCTGCAGGCACACAGCATTCACTGTTCTACGGAGTTATAACCCCCTTGGTTGTAAAAGTGAGATTTGCAGAGAAAGAACAAGTGGGGAATGACCTTAGAAACTAGGGTAACAGAAATGGCTAAGTAATGCAAAGTGCAAAATAAGAACTAATTACAACATCTTCTGTACTTCTAGATGAAAACTGAAGGAGGGTAAAGTGAGCTCTGGGACGTATTAGTTGACCCACCAATGTGCTGTGGCTTCAAGCAAAGCAAATGTAACTCCAAGGTGTATCAAGTTGGATATTTTCAGTAGTTCACATGGAAAGTTTTATTGACCCTTGAGTATAATGTAATTTCAAGTATGAAATACAGTTCTGGTAACTTCAGTAAAGATGAATCCAATTGAAACTGAAACCTTTGTGTAAACAGGATAATTAAGGGGAGTGAAGCATCCTCTCAGTCACAGGTGATTAAAAAGAAACTGGCTTGTTTAACTAAGCAAAACAAAGCTTGAGAGGGGTTCTTGTTTGCATCTGTAAGCAAAATGGAATGAGTAAAAGTAAAAAAAAAAAAAAAGAAGAACCACTGTTTATGTGAAAGTACATTACTGGTAAAAGAACACTTGGTGTAAAGTGGCTGTAAATAAATGTAGATTGGAAATTAATAGGTTTTTGTTCAACAGTACAGCTTGTGAAAAGCTTCTGCACAGGAATCAGGATGGATGAAAACCTGAAATCAGTTCTTAGATGAGTGTGGTCCACTTGTGAAAGGGATTTTACAATACAATTCCCTATAATAGCAAGGGACTGGTTCCTGTACCCTTGCATTAATTCTCTGCTATTGAGGTTCTTCATTTTGCATCTTAAGCATCTGGGACTAGCCACTGTCAGAGACAGACTAAAGAGCTAGAAGTACCACAAGTGCAATCCAAAATAGCACTAACTAGTACTGTTACTTACTTAAAATATTTTAACACAGTAATTGTATAGAGTTCAGGGGGATTAACAGCTGCCAGGGGTGATGAATGCCTCAAACCGTTCTTAATTCTAAATGGAAAAAGCTAAAAACCTCCCAGCATGGAAAAGAATGAGAGTCACCAGTGCATGAATGCTTTCCCACATTGAATGGAAGAAAAGGACTGTAACAGCTTTCGCATGAATATGCAAAAGATAAGGTGCATTTCGAGTAATTTCTGTGCTGTTATGTCAGGAATGAGCGTGCTCCAGTGATTTTAAAGTGAAGGCAGCACCCAAAACACCGAAG